GGGATTAACCGGGCTCTGGTCTCACATCTGCCCCTGCCTGGCTATTTGACCCTGGATCCTTGAGGGAACCTCCCTAGAGTTCAGGAAGAGACTGAGAGTAAGACTATCAAAGAATAACCTTAAAAAGAGGAGCTCAGAGGAAAGCTACGGGGCACATATAAAGCAATAACTAAAGGGTTCATTACCTGAGTGAAATTGTAAATATCAGTGGAACAGAGAAAACCTGAAATATTGCCAACCAATTAAAGAAATTTTCCAAATCTCAAACATTGTATAAAGGAAGTGTTTCTTCTTCTTCTTTTTTTTTTTTTTAAAAAAAATTCTAACCTGAGAATATTTTTTTTTTCCCATTGATTTTTAGAGAGTGGAAGGGAGGGAGGTAAGGAAACGGGGAGAGAGAGAAACATCAGTGTGAAAGAGACACATCAATTGGTTTCTTCCTGAACTGGGCTTGAACCTGCCCTTGACCAGAAATCAAACCTGAAACCATTCAGTGATTGGGCTGACACTCTAACCACTTAGCAACACTGGCCAGGGCAGGAAGTTTTTTTAATTATATTTTTAATGATTTCAGAGAAGAAGGGAGAAAGGAGGGAGGGAGGGAGAGACAGAGAGAGAGAGACATTAAGGATGAGAGAGAATCATTGATCAGCTGCCTCCTACATGCCCCTCACTGGGGATCAAGCCCACAACCTGGGCATATGCCCTTACCGGGAACTGAACCCTGACCTCCTGGTTCATAGGTTGACACTCAACCACTGAGCCATGCCAGCCGGGCCAGAAAGTGTTTTTTTTTTTTTTTCCTAATATGTTTTATCAATTTTTTACAGAGAGGAAGGGAGAGAGACAGAGAGCTAGAAATATCGATGAGAGAAACATCGACCAGCTGCCTCTTGCACACCCCCCACCAGGGATGTGCCCGCAACCAATGTACATGCCCTTGACCGGAATCGAACCTGGGACCTTTCAGTCCGCAGACCGACGCTCTACCACTGAGCCAAACCGGCTTCGGCCAGAAAGTATTTTTTAATAGGTGATGTTGGTGTAACTGAACAGGAATAAGATCTGGATAGAGTAAAGAGGTGGATAATATTTTTCTAAATCATAGTAGTAAGAAATAGCAGCATATATTTATGAAACTTGAAAAGGGATAAAAACTGTCTCAGGCCCGAAGCAATAGAAGGAATTGTGAAGCAAAAGCCCAACAGATTCAACTATAGAAAAATAAGACATTTTTTAAATCATCCTATATAATAAAACTCTTAATTGCAAATTGAACAGTGGAACCACCAGTCGCTATGATACTCACTGACCCCCAGGAGGCAGACGCTCAATGCAGGAACTGCCCCCTAGTGGTCAGTGTGCTCCCACAGGGGGAGTGTCGCTTAGCCAGAGGCTAGGCTCATGGCTGGTAAGCATAGCTGCGGTGGCGGGAGCCTCTCCCACATCCACTGCAGGTGGGCTGTAAGGAGCCAGGGGTCCTGGGCCACAAGAGCTTTGGACTGCAAGAGGGCGCAGCAGGAGTGGAAGGACACCCTTACCCCTCGGCTCAGTGCACGAATCTGTGCACTGGGCCTCTAGTGATACTATAACAACAGATCAATAAATCTGTTAAAATAAATCATTAAAAATCTAGTATTTAAGAGAATCATTAAGACCCCAAGGATATGAGAAGACAATTCTTTCAAGCAGAAGTTAAAATAGGAAACAAAAAAATGGGGCATGTGGGAGGTAGTGTGGAGGGGGTGATGATCTTCAGGCTTCCTGACTGCTGTAACTTCCGGGATCAATGGGAAAAACTGAGGAAGGGGTGAGGATGGATATCATGCAGTAAGCCAGCTTGGGCAGGCAAGACAAATGCCCAGAATGCCGGGGGCGGGGGGCACCTGGATAAACTTCCAAAGGTCTGTGCTCACTTGTTTCCTTCACCTCCAGCTCCCACAAAAGGCATTCTGGCCATCTAGTTGATGGGTGACCACATAAGATCAAAAAGGCCAAGGTCAGGGTTTCCAGCCTTTAAGACCAGAGGGCCAAGGTCATGGCTTGCAGCCTTTGAGGTCCGATTAGTTTCATGCTGAGTCAAAGGTACTCTATGTGCTGCAGAACGAGACAGCATAGAGGAGCTGGTCCAATTCCATTCCTAACACCTGGACAAAGGTCCCAGCAGATCCTCGTTTGAAACCAGCTGACCACTGGTATCCCCTTGATCCAGGAGGGAAGGAGAACTGACTGGTCAGCCTCCCATCCCATTGACCTCTGAGACATGAACTGCAGGGCCACATCAGCTTGCAGGAACTCAGACAGGTGTGGTGTGAGCCCACCTCTCCCCCACATTCACCAGAGGTTGACCTGCTGGGGCTGTCTATGAGACGGCAATCCCCAGCCAATGTTCTTTCCTAAGGGCACCGAGTGCACCCTCACCAAACCCTACCTTTCAGCAGGCCCCGAGGAAGAGGACAAAACGCGTCAGCGCTCTGAGTGACCTGGCGTCCTTCTGAAGCCGGTGTCCGTTTGTGAGGCTTCAGACCTGCTCTTCACTTAGCCCTACCAGAGGGGTGGCCCAGGATTGGTTTTGCAAAGCAAGGGGACGAGCACAGAGGGACTGCGTATGTGCCAGGGATCAAACCCTGTCCTTCCACACAAAGCACTGACAGGCCCAGCTGGCGTGGCTCAGCATTGACCTATGAACCAGGAGTCATGTGGAGTCCAGGTCAGGGCACATGCCCAGGTTGTGGGCTCGATCCCCAGCGTGAAGTGTGCAAGAGGCAGCCCATCAGCGATTCTCTCTCATCACTGATATTTCAATCTCCCTCCTTCTCCCTTCCTCTTTGAAATCAATAAAAAATATTTTTAAAAATGTAAAAAAAGCACTGTTAGGAAGGACGACAAACATTGGCCCCCAGTGCCACGTGAGGGATTGGGAGTAGACAGGCAGAACTTGTGAGGAAACAATTGTTTGCCCAGAGTTATGTTTTGGGACTCTCTTTCTTAGGATAACGGTGCCTGTCCGGAATGGTTTCTGGGTGGGCCTTCCCGGAAGCAGGGGGATGGTCTTTCTGACACTCAGGACCTCCCTCCAGCGGCAGAAACGGAACTGCATGGACCACCCACTAATATCAGGTACGACCCATTCCCCCTGCTCCCTCCAGTTCCGAAGTCCTTCTTCTAAAAGTCTCCCCCAGCCATCCAAATAAGTTTGCTTTAAAGTGTAAACACACACCCAGGGACCAGCAAAGGACATTCATCAAACGAGAAAGACACAGACAGAGCCGAACAGAACGAGACGCGGTGTTCCAGGTTCTGATTCTAAATCCGACAAGAAGTGTGAAGGGCTGGCAGCTTGCTGGTTGGGGACGAGTGGCAGCAAGCGGCTCTCTCCCGCCTCAGGGCATCAGGCCAGCAGCTGCTGTGCTCTTAGGAGCCGGAGGGAGAGTGGGTGGCACGTAGGAGCAGAGGGAGACACGTGCTCCCCCACGGGGACAGGAGCTACTACACGCTCCCCAAACCACAGCCAGGCCTCGTGTTAACGTGGATGACACCCCCTATCCCCCCACTAGGCCCGCCATGTCTTTCAAGCTGCAATTTCATGTCTTTGCTCTCACCTGGGCATCTGCATTGAGCCGGCTCTTCCAACTGAACTTGTCCGAAACCAAAATTGTCCTTTGTGCCAACCCACTCCTCCCAATCCCAACCCTGACTTTCCCTTTCCGCATGGATTCAGAATGTCAGGTGTATATGCGGTTCACCTCACCTATTCAGTCTAGTGAGATCTGCCGAGTCTCTTATGGCCATGTCCCTCTTCCCTTTCATTCTTTTTTTTTTTTTTTTTAATATACTTTATTGATTTTGTATACAGAGAGGAAGAGAGAGGGACAGAGAGTTAGAAACATCGATGAGAGAGAATCATCGATCAGCTGCCTCTTGCACACCCCCTACTGGGGATGTGTCTGCAACCAAGGTACATGCCCTTGACTGGAATCAAACCCGGGACCTTTCATTCCACAGGCCGACGCTCCATCCACTGAGCCAAACAGGTTTCGGCTTTCCTTCCATTCTTACTGTCTTCCTCCAAGTCAGTGCCTGGGTCCCTGCACGGCAGCAGGCTCCTTGTAGTGTCACTCACCCCTGCAGTCCCCCCGCCTCCCCACCTCCACTGTCACGCAGAATCTTCCCAACCCATGGCTTGGATCCCATAACAAACCTGCTAAAAAACATTCAGAGGCTTCCCTTGCCTCCAACAGGACATGGTCTGGTCCAAGCTACCTTTTCAGCTCTATCTCCCTCGCTGACATCTTCTCACACAAAGTTCATGGCACAGTCACCGTCACCCCAGGACTGCGGTGCTCACTGTTTCCTCAACACGGGGACAGCCCCGGCCTCCTCTCCTGCTGCTTCATGGGACGAAGTGGGAGGAGGACAGTCATAACAGCACCCAACAAGAGTACCGAGCCAAGAGAACCATCTCCTGACTGGAGGTCAGCTGTCCATCGCTGGGTTTCCAAGTTGGCATTCCCAACCCCATTCCATTCCCACGCCTAGACTCCAGGCATTGTAAGCAATCACATACTATTTCCCCTGCACCCTCCCTCCGTCCCTGCCAGGAAATCAGTTAGCTTTCCAAAGAGCCTGTGCTGTGAGTCATGCTCCAAGGATGGCAGAGATTGGACCTCATTGGTGGCCACAGAGCTTGGATAGTGGGTGAGGGAAGAAGAAGGGACTTCCCCTAAGGCTTTCCCCCGCCTCCCCAGGCCCAACTACAATACAGACACCACCCCTGACTTCCAATAGGTACTGTCCAGTCTCTACCGAGTGCAGACCCAGCTCTGATGGAGTGAGCTGAGAGGAGGGGAGGGGAGGGGAGGATGTCTCAGGGGAGCCCCCACCTCGGGGGAGCAGTGTCTTCAGCCCCAGCGATGCATTAGGCCACACCCCCACCCCACATCACCACCCTCAGTTCTCTGATTTGGAAGGAAGAGGGGGGAATGTAACTGCTCACATACCTGATCAAACAGGACTTTCCAGTGCTGGCAGAGAGGAAGGCCATGCAGGAGAGGAGGAAGAGGAGAGAAAGAAACACTCTTATCACCAAGGCTCTTGTAGTCCCCTCATATTTCTGACAGCTTCCCAGCTGCCCCCCAGGCTCAGGGGCCCACCACGAGGGACCAGTGAAAACCTGGGAAGAGCTTCCCAGGTGAGTCGGTACTGAGCAAAGGGAGGGAGCTGGAAGGGGGGGGAGAAGGATTACACTCTTTCCCAGGGGGCCAGGCAGAGGGATGCGCAGAACAAGGGGGATTCACAAGGATGACTCAATAAAGGCGTGGGACTCTGCCCAAGGGCCTCCAACAACTTCTAGAAACTGGGACTCTTGCATCTCTTCTGCTCCCCAGCCCGGGAATGCATACCCAGGTGCCCTCCATCAGACCAGCGGCAGAGGCCTCCACCTGCTGGGGGCAGAGACCCGCGCCCCCCTTACCCCCCCAGCCGCTGCGGGGTGGAAGGGGCTCCCCAGGTGCTGAAATTGGCCCAGACCCTTCCAGGCTGGGTCCGGGGTGAGGATGTGGGATTCTACCAGGGCTTTGGGGCCAAAAGCAATGAGAGGTTTGACTACAGGAGCCAAAGGGAGGGGAGGTGTTACGCTTCCCTCCCCCCCCTCGTCCCCCATCCAGACTTTCTGCTTAGGTTTGGTAGGTTGGAGGGGGACCTGGCTTCACTTCCGTATCCCCCACCCTGAGAGACGGGGCAGGGCCAAAGGTCTGCCTCTCTAGGTGCAAGTTAACCTCGGAGAGAGAAGCTTAGGGGAACCCCAGTTCCCAGGACCCCCTCCCCCGGGCACCCAGGGGAGGGGGGCTCGAGCTGCAGATGCGGGGAAGCCCTTGGGGAAGCCCCTCCGCAACCTCGCCGCCGGGGACCGTCCTGGTCCGACGCGCCCCGGACTCCGGGGCCCCCTTCTGGAGCGCCGGGCTCCCGCACTCCTCCCTCCCTCCCGGCTCGGGGACCGGGCCGGCTTGCATTTCAATCAGACACCGCAGGTGCCGGCGGGGGCTGATCCGAGGGCGAACCAGGGGGTCCTCCGACCGGCCAGCGGAGCCGGGTTCCGGGGACCCTGCGGCGCCCCCCGCGCCCCGGGCCTGGAGAACCCGCAGGTCGCGAGTGGGAGGGGAGGGGGAGAGTCACCGCCGTGACGCGGCCGCCTCTGCGGGAAAACGCCGCGTCCCGGGCACTGCACCAGCCGCGGGGAAGGGCTGCGTCCCGCAGGGAAGCCGCGGGAGCCCGGGGGGTGAGGGTGGGGGTGGGGGTGGGGGTGGCGCTCGCGCTTTTGGGGAGACCGGTCCCCCGCGCCCTCCTGCAAGTTGCCCCGTGGAGGGGAGCCGGGGCAGCTCTCCTCCGAGCGCCCCCCAGAAAGTTTGCCCGCGCAGGCAGGGGAGGGGGCACTCACGTCCTCGGGCGCCGCCGGCGGCCGCGCGTCGGCCTCGGGTCCCAGCTCCTCGATGCGCTCCGCCTCGGCGCCGGCGGCCACCGCGGGGCCGGGGCTGGGGTGCTCGCCCATGCCGGAGCGGGGCCCCGGGGGCGGCGGCGGCTGCGGCTCCGTCCCGGGCGCCGGGCTAACTTTGCGCCGCGGCGGCCGCGCCGCTCCGGGGGCTCAGTGCGCGCCGCGCCGCCTCCGCGCCCGCCCCCGCCCGCATGGCCCCCGCGCCGCCCGGAGCGCCCGCCCGCGGCCGCAAACTTCTCCGCCGGCCTCCGCTCGGCCCCGCTCCGGGCTCCGAAGCGAGGGCGCCCTTGGGCCGGCCCAGCGCCCGGCTCCCCGCGCTCCCTGCCCGGCTCCCGCGCCCCCGCTCCGCGCCCGAGTCTCCTCCTCCCCGCGGGCGGGGGCGGGGCTGCTCGGGGGCCGCGGCGCCCCCCCCTCCCTCCAGGGCCGCCGCTGCCCGGGCCGAACGGGTGAGAGCGCCGCGGCGCGGGAGGGCGGAGGGCTGCGGCGGGCTTGGCTGGCCGTGGCTGCAACTCCCGGGGCGGGGATGGGGCTGCGCCGTCCCTGGGCCCCTCACCGCCCGCCTCCACCCTCCCTCTTCCCCGGGTCTGGTTCCCCTTTGCACGGAGCCTGGGCCGAGTCCCAGTGCGGGGCCCGCTGCCCTAGACCCTCCGGGCTAACGGTTCGTTGGAGGCAGTGGATGCGGGAAGAGAGGCAGGACGTTTCACTAAGTTGGCAACGCCAGGGTTAACGGAAAGTGACCTGGGGGGACGGATGCTGAGAGGGAGCGATCCCATCACCCCGACTCTCTCCACTGAGGGCGCAGACTCTGGGAGGTCAAGGGAGGCCCAGCATTTAGGGAGAAGTCAGATGGGGAAGCCCCGGCCTGAGCCTTGCCCTCCCTCCATCCAGGGCTACAGGACAGTATCCTGGCCTCGTTGGACCAGGTGGCCAAAGGGGAGCCCGGGAAATGCTCCATCAGGGGAAGGGGGGGGGCGTAAATTAGAGCAAGTAGGAACGAAGTTAGAGCAAAGGAATGGGGGGTATTTTAAAGGGGGAAAAAATGGGTGCTGTTTCCTCTGCAGGAAAGACCTGCCAGGAGGGACTGTCTCCCCCAAGCAGAGGCTCCGCCTGGAAACCGCGCCAGGGGCCAGTGCTGGCGGGACCAGCCGTGCCCACTTCCCCAGGAGGACTCATTCCTGGTGATGTCTCACAGTCACCCCCAGCTCCCCACGGAGGCTGTCTCCTGCCACTCCTCTTCCTTCTTCTCACTCACCACCCACCCAGCCACCCACTCGCGCCGGCCCTTGCTCCCGCTCAGAAACAGGCTCTTTTCCAATAATGAGAATTGCAATTAACGTGCTCATGTCCCCGAAGCAAACACATGGCCCCGGCAGCCCCACATCCAACCTGTGGCCATCTCCCTGACAGTGGCTGCTCCCCCTTCAACGCCCAAAAGGAAATTAACTTCGCTCTAATTAGGTGAGTTTGCGGCAGACACCCATATTCATCTCGGCTTCAGCAAGTGTGATCATCTCAACTATTTTTGCTTCTCACCGCCCTCCCCCATCTCTACTCCACTAACAAGTCAAGATCCTGCCAAGATTTTCCTTGTAAATAAAACTGTCTGCTTAGGGTGTGATTTTGAAAACAGCCTTCGGGGGACAGGAGAGAGGCTGACTCCTTTGCGGAGTGAAGACCCAAAAGAGGAGAGGGGGCTTGGGGTCCCCGGGTCCTGTCACTGCCTCCCCCCACTTCCTGATATCCTGTGCCTGACCCCTGGGGCGCTGGCTGGAGAAGGGGCCGGGGAGCAGGTGGTTGCAGGGGAGGGGAAGAAGCATTCTGAGAGGGGGTTGGGCACTCTGAGTTCTGACCCCAGCTGTCCTTTATTTTATTTTTAAAACAGATTTTTATTGATTTCAGAGAGGAAGGGAGAGGGAGAGATAGAAACATCACTGGTGAGAGAGAATCATTGATCAGCTATCTCCTGCATTCCCCCTACTGGGGATGGAGCCCGCAACCCAGGCATGTGCTCTTGACTGGAATCAAACCCGGGACCCTTCAGTCCACAGGCTGATGCGCTATCCACTGAGCCAAACCAGCTAGGGCCCCAGCTTCCTTTAGAATCTGCCTCTTCTCCAACCCAGGGACAGCTTTTATGCACACCTTCCCTTCTGCCATCCCTCTGGTGGAGGGAACCTCAGCAGGCTCAGCTCAGTCCCTGAACATGGATTGTGCTCCTCTGAAGTCCCGGTGAGAGCTTTGGGAATGCAGAGGTGGATGAGGTCCGCACCCTGCCCTGCAGACACTGTGTAACGGGGGTTGACAGCCGGGAAAGCCCAGGCATAGAGAAACCCAAAGGAGGGAGTCCCTGCAGGTCCAAGAGAGCTTCCTAAGGATATGCCCCCAAACCAGGCAACGAGGGGGAGCAGGGGGGAGGCATTCCAGGTAGAGGGAATGGCACAGGCAGAGGCTGGGCAATGGGGAGCCATCGAAGGATTGTGAGCAAGAGAGTAACGTTTAAGAAGATCCCTTAAACCCTTAAAAAGTGCAGAAGAGAGAGAGGAGGGAAGCGGGCCTGACCATAGGGAGATGGAGATGCCATCCAGGGAAGAGATCACCAAGGCAGCCGCAGTTGGAATAAAGGAGTGAGGGAGCATCTGAAAAGCATCCAGAAGGCTATCTCGTTCTCCATCTGCCCTAGGAATAGCTCTCCGCGCCTTGGCAGACAGCGTTTCCACAGGTCTCCTCGGACAGAATTCCCGGCCTCTGGCCGAAGCCTCTGTGCAGGAGACCACGTCCCTTTCTCCGGCTCCTGCTGGGAGGAGGAGGCCGCCGGGACTTGGAGACCGGTGTGACAGCCAGCATCCTCCGTGACCCGGAGGCCACACTCTCACCTTCTGCTTTCAGTGTTGCCTCAGCCTCTTCCCGCCCTTGGGGCCCCTGGGGAATTTGCAGCACAACCCACTCCCAGCTGGCAGTGGGGCCGGGGCCTGACCCCCAAGCCCCGGAGCCTCTGGGGGATACAGTGGCCAGGCTGTCGGATAGCTTTGGTCTCCCTCCAACCTGCGGACCAGCGTCCTGTGCCATATCAGAGACAGGACAGAGGAGGGAATGGGCATGAAGCCTCCTCCCCGTCCCTTGTGGAGCCCTGGGGTGACTGTCCACAGGCTGTGCCTTCAGAGAACCCTGGTCTGGTGGGAGGGACAGCCAGCGAGGGCTGATTGGCATTTATACCCGCTCTTCATTATGTAGGCGCTCTCTCCCTTGACCTCTTTGAAAGTTCCTGACAAGACACTCTCAATCAAGGCGGAGCAGGCCGAGAGCCTGAAGGAGCAGTTCAAACTCCAAAGGGCCAAACGCAGTCAGCAGTGGTTCAGGAGCATGAATCTGAAAAGACAGGAGTGGTGTGGACAGTATGGAGGGACAGTTCTGGGCGGAGGGAAACACTGCAGCAAGGGCACCAAGACAGGATGGCGCGCCTGGGGTGGGCACAGCGGTGAGAGAGCCAAAGCAGAGATGGCCTAGTGGATAAGGACCGTGTCGCAAAAGTCCTTGAGTTCCTGACGCAGGAGATTGGACCTCACTCGGTGGGCGATGAAGGAGCGGCATTTTAGGAAGATTAAGTTGGCAGTGGCTCAGGAGTGCAATTTAACTAACACACTGCGAGGGCCCATTATGTGCCAGCCCCTGGCGGAGGGGCTGAGAATACAAAGGCAGTGAGACCCAGGCCCTGACCTCTGGGGAGAAAATGAGATAATCCTCTAATTCCAGTCCGGTGGGAAGAAGGGAGGGAAGGAAGGAGGGAGGGAGGGAGAGGGGCACGCTGTGTGGGGCTGAGTCTCTAAGATGCACCCACCACAGCATAGAGTGGGTTTTGTGTTGCTGTGTTTTCAGGATCTGATGTTCTGGACCTGAGGGCTGCCACTGGTGAGCCAGGAAAAGGAAAGCCAGAAGGAGCCTCCAGGAGAGGGAGGGGGCGGTGAGGGGAGCGGAGGAGTTTGTTTGTGGACAATGTGAGCTAATGAGAAGCCGGGGAAGAAACATTAAGGGCTGTAATTATGGCTCCCTAAACAGTGGTGAGTGTGTGTGTGAGTGTGTGTGTATGAGAGAGAGAGAGAGAGAGAGAGAGAGAGAGAGAGAGAGAGAGAGGAAGAGTTTCCTCCAGAACCTCTCCCTCTTGGTCCTTTTTCAACAAGAGTATCCCATTCTGATGTCTCTCTCAGCCTGGCCCACACCCTCCAGGGCTCTTTCCCAGAAGTAAACCCTAAACTGACCCTGTCAGTCCCCTCTCTCCAGTCTCCGAGAAACCTGCAAACACCCCTGAGAAGCCTGCAAACAGCCCCAAGCTGCCGCCTAGCCGGCCTGAGATGAAGACATGAGCTATTTTTGACTGAGATCCAAGCCTCGGCCCTGAATTCTTTTGTCTTCCAGGAATCCCCAGTCATGTTTGAAGTCTGCAAGTCCAAACAGCAGAGGAGACCGCGTTTGGAATCCAACCAGCCTCCATGCCCGGCCCCGGCATTCCTCCATTCTCCCCACCGTCTTCAGGATCAAACGGCACACGCGGCTGAATAGAACGTCCCCCCTTCCTTTCGTCTCTTCCTTTGTCACCCCAGGGCCCCCACTTTTCTGAGTGACTTAAATCATGGCTGAGAGACATCTAGGTTCACAGACACCAAGCCTTTTCAAAGAGAGGCGCGGGCACCCAAAAAAGCAGCTCAGGAAAGTAGAGGAAACTGTCCCAGGTTCATGTGGAGCCAGTCACATGTTCAGGGGAACTATCAGCTGCTCTGTTGGGTCTCATCTTCCTTCCCTGTCATCTCCCTGGGGTTTGGCTGGTCCCAGGGTTTCATGTTTGCATCCTCCAACACTCTGCGATCTTGGGTTATGCTACAGGTAGGTCTAGTCTCCAGGGTAAACAGTCTGTTAGATCATGTGCATCACTCTGCTAAACCCTACTTCTCCGCCAAGCCTTCCCTCAGCTTTCCACTCCAAAGAGACCATGCCTACCTCTGATCACTATTTTCACTTGACCTTGCATTATTGAAGTTTTAGATCCCTTAAATGAGAACGTATAT